AATCCCGCCAAACGCCTAGAGTTTTTCACACTTGGGTCAACTCAAATTAAATTACTTGCTTTATCCTTTCCCAAAAGGCCTATTGTGTCTTGTACTCTAATGCTTGCGCGTTACCTGGGTGCTTAATATACTTGAGGCTTGCAAGCCGCATATTAATATTTGATTGAAAAGAACTGATTGAATTTGAGCTTTGACTTACGCATCCGTAGGAAGGTTTTAAAGTTTAGATGTCACTTTCTTGAGATAAAAGTCGCAGAAACACCCTTCATATGGAGTAAGCTTTTGATCACTTATTGACGCGAACGGCAACTGATTTTCTGTGCGACAATGTTTGCATTCTCTCTTGCGGGTGTCGCCATTTATGAACTTTGAGCCTAATATTTACAATTTGCCAAAAATTTACAAATATTGCACAAATGTGCTTTTAGTGCTTATTACAATTGAAGCCGCTCGTAGGATAATTCCTATGCGATAGCAGTATGTATTCGAAGTAAAACTTACTCCGCTCCACTAAGCGTATCACGCTAGGCATTAATGATCGCGTAGTTGCAGAGCATTTTCCCTCTTCTCTTCTCTGCATTTATAAATTCCACTTTAATGTTTATTTCATATACGGCTAAAAATCCTATGCAGGCTTGTTTTCTAAAATAAAATGTTTAATCAGTTTTTTATTATTCGAATAAAGTGTAATTTTATGTTTTGTCCAAAAGTTAGGGCGTTGAATAATCGTGTAAAAAAGAATGCGAAGTTCTAGACGTTCTACATGCAAAATGGCCAACCAGAGCACGTCCACCGTAGAGTACACGCGCACTCAAATGAAGCCAGAAGGCAATAAATATGATTAATTTTTGGAAAGCACACAGCCTGCAATTGTCTGTCCTGATTAAAACGCTGGTTGCTTAGCGGACTGCATAAGAGGGACAATATTTTTAAATTGAATATGCCAACGAGATTCAAGTTTCTACAGTGCGTAAAGCAAACTGTTGTTGGTAGCGTATTCATCCCAGTACGTGAAGACGGAAGGCAACAAATATGGTTGATTTTTGGAAAACACACAGCCTGGAATTTTCTGTCCTGATTAAAACTCTGGTTGCCTAGCCAACTCTATAGGAGATTTAAACGTCTGTAAAAAGGGACAGTAATTTTAATTGAATATGTTAAAGGGATACAGGTTTCTACAATGCGTAAAGCAAACGTTTGTTGCTGGCGTATTCATCCCACTACGTATGATTATTTCAACAGCAGTAACTGAAGTGAATAGAATAAACCTAAGTACTCAGCTACACCTTCCGAGTGTTTTACACAACTGGCGCAATCGCCACGCTACGCCATCATCAATTTTCCCATACCCTCTCGATGTTAGCTGTTTTTCGGCACTCTCACTTTACTCTGCGTCCGAAGACGAGCTGGGGCTCCAGTCTCGAAAATTTACGCAATAAACCTCTCTTCCCAAAGAACAACTTCGACTTCAAATTATATTTCTTGGGATGCCAACCTTTCGACATATATATACCTCTCGGCGGTTGGAAACCTTAAGATTGGGTGTGACTGGCTGATGATGGCTAACAAGCCAGAAATGGCCATTCCGGTCTTCCTTTACTTTGTCGGATTCATTTCATCATCCTTTTCTCATAGTCACTATGCGGCGGTCTGACGGGTTCACGTTGTGAGCTCCTGGACATAGCGGAACTTAACTGTTCCTCTACTAGATCGGCGAAGCACATATATTCAGATATATATATATATGACCCAACGCAGCCATCGCGTCGGGTCTCAATTGCCGTTTAGAGTTCCGTAAGAAGAGCCTGTAAGTATCACCACAGACTTACATAAGCCCAAAAATCTGCAATAGGCAAACGATAGAAGTGTAGTAATATTTCTTTTGCTCTATTAAATAAAAATAGCCCTTTAGTCTACAGTGAATAATTCCTTACAACTAGCTAAAAGCAACTTAAATGAAACCATCTGCTTAGTAGATGTGTAGATACTTATATACAACGGAAAATTAGTATCCATGAAGAAGCTTTTCTTAAGTGATAAAGTTATTTTCCTATTGAAATAAGTTGTTCAATTGATATGCTCTTCCTACTTGCGAATGGAGAAGCTTTTATTGTAACACATGTCCCGTAAACCATAACTCTGAGATTTATTCTTATAAAACTGATGCTTTTACCAAGAGCTCTTTCACTGCAGATAGAAGCGAATATGCGAGTTACAAAGCAGCAGTTCAGAAGAAGAAGATGAGATAACTGGAACAAGAATTTTATTGACCTGAAGTTTCGGACTCTGTCGAGAATCCTTTACCGTAAGTAACCCTTGAATGGTGTGATACATGCACAGATTGCGCCATTATCAAGCCCGCTTCCGAGGCCGACAACGAAATCGCGGCAATTTCTGGCTCGAAAGCGAACTGCAAAGCCATCACCACACAAATTACGACCTCAAGCGGTGGTTACAGGAGCTGATAGTTACAGTACGCATGTAGATAGCCGCTACGAACTAGAAATACCGCGCAATCCGTGCATGTATCGCCCCAATCTGCGCATGTCTCACACCATTCTACGGTTATCTATGATTAAGCATTCTCGACATAATCTGAAGCGTCGGGAAAATAAAATTCTTGTTCTAGTGATCGGATCTTCTTCTTCTGAGTTCTTTCATCATCTAAAAGAATGTCCTCCAATTACCTGGACGTCTCTATTTCAAAGTTTTCCGAAAAGCCTATGCTACATTTGGTAAGTTTTTGGTTCTCCAAGCCCGTTACCGTTCAGAGCACGTTTACCATTTCCACAAAATTTTAAATGCTCTATGCAGGATTGCCGCTTCCACGCTATCTAGCTGTACGTAACCTGACTTTCAGGGTAAATTTGAATGTCAGAAGCTGGAGTAAAAAAATATATTGTCACATATCGAAGCCGCCAATTAGCTAGTGTTTATGAGCGTCGACCGCAAAGTGCATAAGCAAAAGTAAAGAAAACTGAGCTGCTTCTGACCTTGATTTATTACCGGCATCCATCAGATCATTTACTTCCTCAAAGGATCGAACTGCACACTTCGAGAGGTCCTCAACGTAGGGACCCAGAAGCGGGTGTTCCCTGACGCGCAGATTACCCTTTTGGTTGGAGTTGAGTAGATCACGAACTCGTTCACAGTATATCTCCATATAGGATACCTGGAAGGGAAAAACATAATTTTCAATTCTTTCGGGTCTGACAAGCATGTTCATACGCAAGTATTATAGTCAGGTCTTCAGAAGATTAATAGCGTGGCATAATTTTAATCGATATTTTATTTCAAGATCTATTGATGCAGAGGTAAAAAAATTTAATGGAAGGATTTACAATGGACTTCCGATGATATCCACGGAAGTACAAGTATTTTCGCTCCAGTCCAATTTAATATTTGGGATCGACTGAAGTATCAGAGGGTTACTTTGTTGCAGACTTATGATCGAGAAGAAGGTCGGTAACTGGAACATGAAGTTTATTCGCCTGATGTTTCGAATGTACTTTGAAGAAATTATTTGATATCGTAGAACCACGTTAATCGCATAACTTCATACTCCGTGCAATAGCCACATTCCAACTGTTGAGCTTCGTGGTAGATAGCGAAAAACTCGTCCGGCAAATTAGCCCATCACTATTTACCTGTGTGTCGCCCGTGGTAGATTACATCGTTCAAGAGAAGTGAACATGTGAGTTGTAGGAAACAACTGAGAAGGAGAAGATGTCACCACTGGAACAATAAGTTTGTTAGTCTAACGCTTCGGATTATCACACGAACCCATCATCGCAGACAAGTACAGCAAAGAAGGCTTCCATCACCCCTTCTCTGTGACTCTTTCTGATGATGGGTTGGGACGAAAATCCAAAAGGTTGGGCCAATAAACTTCTTGTTAACTTATCCCGTGGTCTCAGTGAATGGAGACACCTTTCGCTGAATATCTAGGATGCAAACTTCAAACTAAAGCGTACTTCTATCTTACTTTCTCTCTCCCTCTCTTTATTAATATTCAAAAACCATACGTTTACATAAAATATAGCGACAATT